GCGGCGTAGCGGACGGGCGGCTCGGGGACGCTGAGAGGGACGCTGGGGTCGCGGGTGACGGCGAGGTCGAACGCTTTGCTCTTGTATGGCGCGGAAGAGCCGAATGATCCAATGACGATCGATGCGACGATTGGTTTCTCAGAGGTCAAGAATTGGTGGGGTAGGTCCTTGTGAGACTGGATGTGTTAGCTGTGCTGGCAGCCATTGTAACGCTCAACCTACCAAATCGACCTTTCCCTTGCCGCTGTCCTTCACATTGAACACAAAAGACTCTTCCAGGCCCGTTGTTGGTTCGGTCAGAGTAAGGAATGCCTGGTGAGGTCGCTTCGCGGTGCTTCCATCGAGGGTTGTGAGGACAAGCTTCAATGTATCCGTTGCGCCCAACGATACAGATTTGCCCAGCGGTGTCGAAGGACTCAGTCTAGATGCCAATTTAGTCCTGCAATAATTGCACATATGCAAGCTTGAACTCACTTGTCCTTTGAACCTCCGCCAACACCAGCACCTTTGCTGGTAATAGTCACGGTGGCATCCTCAAAACTCCACGAGGAAGCTGCAGAGACGATAGCCGCGCCCGAAAGTAAAAGGGAAGAAACGAAGCCTTGAAGAACCCTCATCGTTGCTGATTCGGAAAGAGTGAACGCGGAGCTGTCAATGTTGCGCCGACACAGACGTAAGCGTGTCCTTTGCCAAGACTTCGACCGGCATCTTCCGGCACTAGTTGCCCATGCCTTCCCTTATCGACTCAACTCACACGCGCGGAGAGCGACCTCACTTGATTCAAAACTGATCATTGTGTATCGGTCCCGAGGTCATATTGAGCCGTAGTCAATAAGCATACTCACAATGATGAAGATCCTTTGATAAATGCGTCTTTCTGCAAAATTTACACATACAGACAGCCATACTAACGGACCTTTCTCCTGCGCAACAGCATCCTCCACCTCCGCTTGGTCTTTGGTACCTCATCTTCTCGATTTTCTGAAACCTCTGGATCCTCTATCTCCTCTGGATCATTCAGATCCGCTACCCACAGCACATGAAGTATCAATCTTACCCAATCTCTTTCATCCTTCGGAAACATCTCCATCCACTCCTCCTCTACAGCAACCAAACATGCCACATCCCTACCCTTATGCTTTCCGCGCGTTGAATCACGATACATCTCCAGAAACCGAACCCCCCGCGTCGAAATCAGCGTCCTAAAGACAGCGAATCCCAGATCTGGTACTCGAAGGTGGTAGTTATTGAACGCAAACGGATCCACCATCACGTTACTTCTCAGAACCCTATAAGGATCATAACTTAATTCTCCCAATCCAACAACCGACTCTTTCCTTAAGTCCTGTATCCTCTTCTCAATCACATCCGTCGTAACCGCATCTCCAATCCTCCTCTTAAAATCCAATTTTTGCTGCAGTTCATCGAGTCCGCGTGGCGGAAACACAGCAGCATACTCCGACTCCCCATATATATGATACCTCGCTGTACTATAGTCGGTTTGCCAACACCTAGCTATGGCTTCTGAGATATCGTGCCTGTCACTCTCGCTGACGTTGTCGGAATAGTACTCCGGTTGCTGCCACCATTCTGTTCGGCAGAGGGGACAGCGCCGCGAAGAGCCGGATGAGGTGTCGAGGCTCATTTGGTGGATACAGGCTGAGCCGAGGATGTGCGTGCAGCCGGGGAGGTTGGTGATGGCGAGAGCCTTGTCAAGCATTTGGAGGGCGAGGTTTGAGCTGCCGTAGGGGAGCTGGCAGATGGCGCATGTGTCTTGTTCTGAGAATAGGTGTAGTTGCTTGGTGGAGGTGTGGTTTGCGATGAACTGTGAGTAGGTTCGGGGTGTGGAGCACTTCGTGCAGCAGGGGTTGTTCTCTGCTGGAGTAGTGGACATGGCTATCTAGATATGCAGCAGTCTTGGGGAAGATACTAGAGGTCGTGGTAGAAGGCAGATAAATAGATTGACGAACACTTCAAGCGCGTTGAATGAAGAGCAATCTTGAATTCCATGCTTTGCACGATCTGCCTCGTCAGGTAGAGTGATGAACAATTCATGACTAGTGCCTGCCACGCTTGATCTTGTGGAAGTGAATTGTTGAATGTGATTTCGAAGTGGTGAATAACATAATACTAACTCCTGAAATATTCGATGGGTATGTTTCATCGTTTTATGTTACAAAAGGTTGCATCTGTGGCTAATACCACAGCCCCGTAGCGCGTGAAGCGCAGGTGTTCGTGTAGTGACAGACGGACGGCTTCCAAATTCCCAGGTCATGCTCGTACAATATGTGGTGTATATACAACGAAGGTGTGTCGTCCGAATCGTGACAAGAAGCGCAGTGCATCTCTTCACAGTCCCTTCTCTTGATCAAAGGGTTCCTCATGGTAGTCAAGTTCTCCGTGACTTTGTGGATTTATTTTCCGACAGTCTTATCCTTCAACTCCTTCGTTTTCTCAGCGACCATGTCAGTCACACCCTTGGCCTCCTCTCCCACTCCCCTCGCCTTCTTAGCCATCCTGTCCTTCCAGGCCCTGTCTTCCTCGTCTCGCATCTCCAACTCCCTCAGCCACCTGTCTCTCTTGTCCATGCGCTCCTTCTGCGCAACTTGCTTCTCGTACTCCTTGCGCTTCACGCGGTCCTTTTGCCAGTACATATTTCCTGCGACCAGTACGGCGATTGTGAAGGCTTGGGCGTATAGACGTCGGCGGAAGTACATGTTGGTCGCCTTGTGGTCACCTTTCCGCATCGAGCGGGTTGCGCCGATAATGGCCCAGACGGTCAGACCGCAGCCGAGGGGCACGAGCGGCTCTTCGCGGAAGCGGCGCCATATCTTGTCGAGGGTGTTTTCATTGTAGAAGTCGCTGGATGACGTAGTTAGTAGGTGTATCTTATGTAATCCTCAAGATTGGCTAGAAGGATGTCTGAGTCTACATACGCATTCTCGTCGAAAGAAGAGGGCAGCGGCGCGCTGTTTGGTGGTCCGAAAGACATGGTGGGTGGTATGCAGATGCAAATGCGGAGGCGGCGGAGGTGTCGCGTGGGTAGAAGTGTACAATGACAGGGTCGTTACATGAACCCGCAGATCTAGAAGACTGCGCTAGCTCTGAATGCGCAAATTGAAGCTATACAGAAGCCCTGGAAGCGCTATATCAGGTATAGAGTGGGTTGTGTATGGCTTCAAGATGCGGAGCAATCGATTATCTCACCACTTCGGCCATCGGCCCTTCCTGATGTTCCAGGCCCGATGCGCGCGAGTGGTGCCTACAACTACATGACCAAAGCTGCGCGAACCACGACAGCCCGGGTCAAGCATCTCTATCCACTCCAAACCACCACGTCGCCTTCAATGAGAGACGAGGCGACAGGCAAACTCCCCTCGCTGCGCCATGAACGATGAGGCCGAGTCGTCTCGAGCTACTCAGCGCCATGACAATACCGCGGCATCCCACCTGGCCGATCTAGAGGATGCGCTGGCCCGCTTTGAAGAGGCGGAAGAGCGAGAGAAGCAGAAGCAGGTCAAGCAGCGGAAATTGGATGCGAAGAGGAAGCGCATACAGATGCTGGGCGAGCTGTTGCGGGAATTGGACATGATCGTCTACCTGGAACTCATCACGCTCTACCACTTGGAGTACGCTTACTGTCCACATGCTGCTACTTTGCGCTAATCGTTTCTGTAGCTGCTCGTTCTTCTGGCTCCTGTTCAAGGCACTTACACATGCCTTCCTGCTGACGCCTATCCCCGACACCGCGACCGTCACCCGCCCACCAGACGAACCGAGGCCCTTCCTCCCGCTGCTCCTGATATCGTTTGGAGTAAATTTCCTCTTACATCTTACATATCCCGCGCCATCGGCTGGCGAGGATACCCGAGGCTATCTACACGGCGGCTTGATGATAGACTTTATCGGGCAGCAGGGGCCCACGAGCAAGTGGAAGCTTGGGGCGCTCGACATGTGCATACTGTTCCTGCAGCTTGTCATGGTTTCGGTACACGTCAAGAGGCGGGAGCTGAAGAAGAAACTGGCCAAACTGTCAGCTGGTGGGGGTGCACCAAACACCACTACCACCCGAGCCACGTCAGACTCGGCACCGACAGCGACGGCAGCGGCGACGAATGACAACGCGAACCGAGATCAGGATGCCGATGATGAGGAGCGAGGTGTGTTACACCGAACCGATACGCTGTCAGACTTTGGCATGGATCCCGAACACGAAGAAGACGCCCTACTACCATCATCCTCCGAATCTGGCCATGCCGACGCTATGGAGCTTCTCAGTTCGGGTCAGTGTGTCATTGGCGACTTTACCCTCATCGACACCCTCCTGCAAGAGAACCGAGATTACGCGGCTTACCGATTGACGCGCACCGAGAGCGGCAATAACGACATGCCGGAAACGCTACGGCGGCTCAATACCTTGCGAACTCGTTTCGGCGTGGGTGGCGGGTGAACGCAAGTAAGACGTTATCTTATCATCGCCTTGCTCCGATGCACGTGTTCCAACCAGCTCCGCGGTGACACTGCTGTGACATGCACGTTGTCCCAATGAATTATTGCATGCAGCACACAAAGCCACCGCCTACGCCTAACTCATGCACGTTCGGCTCGGGTGCCCCCACGCGTTCGTTTCCCGTTGTAAGACGGCTAGGAGGGCTCGTTGCGAGCATTGGTGGCGCCGTGCTTGGACTACCCCAGTAACATTATGCGACGTGCAGTTGTGTGATCGCTTAGTTGTGGCGGTACATCGAGCAGATCACCAAGGTCTTTGTATGCATGAACGGGCCTGGGGCACTTCGGTTAAGGGGCACATGCTGTGGGAATACCACTGCATTACGATCACACACCAGGTGCGCATGATGCCAATGTCGCTTGGGATTCCCGACAATTACTCCATGCCGTTCCTCATATTATGGCGCTCTATCGTAGAGCGTTATCTACCTGGCTGGTCTTAAGCGATGGAAGAGACGTGGGCTATAGCAAGGCGGGATTGTTGGTCAGAGCTAGACTATTCCAAGATGTTTGCCAAAAGGCACCCACAATACTGCAAAGATTGCCAATACAGTCAGCACTGGTACTGCAGCGTTTTGCCAATCGCCAGGGAACTTGATCAGCCAATAGATCCAGAAGACGAATGCGGCAAGTAATGGCACAAGGTGATAGACTGCCATGAAAGCGAAGGAGATGGCGTGATCGGCCTCCAGTCCCCAAGCTACAGCGATGGCGTCGTTGGATTGTATATCAAACTCGCTTTTCTTCTTGGGAATGCAGCCTAGTCTGTATGAGCGGCATGGTAGACTCACGCAATCGTGCCATGGGTTGAGCCATGGCCATTTGCAGTTCATGTCGCAGGCTTTGAGGCAGACTGCAAATGTTTTGGGGGATATCATGGGAATCGTGCCTGGTCTTGGAGTGTACTCGTAGTCGTCTTTGACGCCAGGGTAGTCGGGCAGGTCGTCGCCTTGGGATAGGACGCGTCCGGCGTCGAACTTCTCTAGCTTAACAAATCTGCAGAATCGGAAGCGAAATGGTGATATCAGTCTTTTGATCCAGCTTCGATGCTTCTTGTATCGTGTTTTGAGCTCACGGAAGAACGCAGGGTCGTTGAGTAGAGCTGTGACGCTGATCTGCTCGACTTCCAGAGACCACCGCGAGCCTTGCACACCGAAGAGGACGCGCAGTGATGGGCCTGGGACAGTTTTCGACGGAACAGTGGCTGGCTGACCGAGAACTTGCAGTGGTGAACTAGCACTACCAGGCGCCGAAAGATTGCTGTTGACTCCGCCAGCTGTTTGAGGACTAGCCACTGGTGCTGAAGTTGCGGAAGTGCTCGTGGGAGTATAGCGTTGACTCGCTCTCGAGGATCCACCAGCAGCTGCCCTGAACCATGCCGCTGAAATGTTCCAAGGCTTTGAGACCTTTCCAGAGCTATCGGTACGACAGTAAGAGCATTGTTTCTTATCATGGGGCCATGAGCGCATGACCCACCAAATCACGTTCTTTTCTACTGAAGACACAATCTCGTACAGAGGAACTCCACCGAGCTGTACATGTTAGAACCCTTCACCGCATGTAAAGAATGCCGTTAAGGGCATTCTACGTACCTTCCACTGAATACGACACTCTTCAGGCACTTCAGGCGCGACATGTGGTACGCAAGGAGCTAGAGGCCACCAATCCCATTCTACCGTTGTATAGTTCTCGATCAAGGTCTGGATATTGTTGACAAAGGACTCATCGTTCACAGATGATAGCTCGATGGCACATAAAGTAGTGGATGAGACCATCTCCTGTAACGATCTGCGTAGGGTCAACAGTGCGAGGTCTCTGGCAAGCACCTCTAGAGATTTGGGATTATGGGATTCACTTTCTCGGGCCAATGACTCTTGGATAAAGCTTGGTCCTGTCAGTGTGTTTGGCGTCCAGCTCTTACCGTCGGTGCCAACGGCTCGCAAGTAGCTTGCAACGTCCGATGCCACAGGATTCCAATCAGACAGTGGCTGAACATGGAATCCTCCTCGCGGTCCGATGATGCTATCGTTGGTTTTATCAGAAACGCCATAGCAGCGAGGCAATACATTAGAGTACTCAGTGACAAAACGATCTTGCCCCAAGGTCGCTAGAGCATAGATATGTAAATGGCGAAGGGGATACTCCTGTTTGAGTATATCAATACAGTCTCTGCTTACAACCCTCTGTACCATCTTCTGAAAGTTGACATCATTGGAGGGCGGGATCATAGGTTCTTCTGGTTGTATCTTAGTCTCTTTTGAGCCTGGTTCGCTCGGAGGCGCTGGATGTGTCCAGTGGCGGGATATCAGTCTTCTCTCTACAGCGCCTTCACCTTCGTGTTCCGGTTCTGTAGAGTAACTTGAAGACGAGTCCGAGCACGGATCCAGATTAAAAGAGTCTTCGATATCAATACCAAAGTCTCTCCGGGCCCTCAGGATGCGAGAGCCAGTTGAAGGCTCCGAAGCTTTCCGTCTACTTGCATTGATACTGTAGTCTTCCTCGGATAAGCCTTGCTCAGATGGGTTTTGTTGAAGCGACGAGGTAGACCCACAATTAGTGCGCTCGCCAGCGCGCAATGGAGAGCGAAGTTCTTGTGCCGATCTCATGCGCCTGATCTTAGTAGCGCCGTGCGATATAGGGATAAACGAAGTTTCCGATGGTGATACAGTGGTGCAACTTGATCTTCTCCTGGGCTGAAGAACCCTCGTCTTCCTCCCAGTATCCGAATTGGATCGCAAAAGACCTGCGTAAGAACTATCCATAGGCACGGAGGGTCTCTCTAATCCAGAGAGCGATACTTGTTCAGCCTTGAGGAGACTGAAGACCTGTCCTTCCAGAGCAGGGAATCTAATAGGGACCGGTTCGTCATGTTCGTTGACTGTACTGTACACCCCGCCATCGGGTTCCATGTGCATACATCTATAAGCCACGATGTCAGCCTAGCTACATTCATGTCTCTAGGGCCGTCAAATTACCTCAATATGTCCTGTGCTAGATGATGTCCTGAGGCACACAGTTCCTCGTGGTCACGAGGCATTTGGCGAAGACTATGACAGTGGGTACACTTCCGGGCATGCTTTTCGAACTTGGACGCCGCCCGGCTCTCCGTCTCATTCATCGAGCGTCCGATGATATGTGTCGGGTCTTCGTTGTAGCTAAGAGATCGTCTCCGACGAGACCATGGTCTATCGATAACATTCTGCATATTTGTGCGTGTAGAAGAGACGCGTCGCCAATGCGTCTTCGATTCTACTATAGCAGGTCTACCTATGGTAAGATTTTCTCAGACCAGCAATACACGACAATCAAAATCATCAGCTTGGCTCGGGACTTGGATTGTATAGCAATATTTAGGAGTTTGGGTAAATAGCGATAGAGGTGTGTCGAGAACTGTCCTCTGTGTTGCTCTTCTATACACTAGGCTGCATTGAATTCCACCAATTTATTCACGCCATCTACGCACATCACTGGCTTTTGCTAGCTGAATAGTAATCTTGGTAAGGCAACGATCGCTATGGGAGAGCCTGGACGATAGGTGCGCATGCGAGCCATACACCATACCGCGCGCCTGACTCACCTGCATGCATCAGATCATCTCCGCATTCACCCAAAACAACCGTATAGCAAATGTAACGTCAACATGCGCCCATCTCCCCAGCATCGCACACCGATGACGGCAGCGCCGGGCGCCAGTTTGCCAAACGCCCCATACCGCGCGACGTCAGCCGTCCTACCAGTGGCGAAGAAGAGTCGTGTGTCTCGCCAATCTCCGTTTTTGGGGGCGAGATTGGGGCCTCCATTCGAGGCTCAGCGTTGTGTGCTGTCCAATATCGAGGTTCCGTCTGACGGCAGATTTAAGCGGTCGTGCCGACATGCACAGCATGCGAGATCTTACGGGTAGCCAGTGCCGCTCTGCTGCAGAACCAGGTGTTTGCTGCAAGACTTACATTGCTTGCGCAAACGTGGCGTGAGTGCTCTCCCGCGCAGGGGGGAGGGGCTGCGTGTGATGGTACGCTGTATACGGAGTGGTCTACTGCCTTCACGAGATGGATGGATCTCGCTCGTGGGATGGCCATGCGAAACCTGATTGCGAAAGCGGGGATAGTCAGACTCGACACGTCGGGAGGTACAGTTATCGTCCACCAATACTTGCTGTCGCCTATCGCGCCTTCTATCTCAAGCAACTACACGTGCGTTGTGTCACCCACCTATACCCAGGTACCCACCCACCTTCATTTCCACATGGCGAACATGGAAGGTAGGAATAACAAATCATATTATGGAGCAGCTTTTGGAGGACCCTGCATGGCCAGTTCGTATCGGAGGCCCTTTTGCAGTGATTCGCGCGAGCCGCGTTTTGCTCGCGTTCCTTCGATTCTCAAAGTCGTCTCGGAACAGGAAAAGGACCTTTGTACTTCGGCTGCCGCGACGCGAAGCTGCGTGGGATGAATAGCATAATGTGCAAGGTAGTGAAACAGAGAAGGATGACTGAGTCTTCAGTCGTGGCCAAACTCTGCGTTTGCGTCCTCGATCACACGAAAGGTCGTCGAACGTTACTCTCTCATCTCATTCGCAACCGCACCACATGCTCGCGGATGACGCGCGCCCGGTCAACGGGCGGGTTATAACGGAAGCACGGATCGGAACGTCGAACGACGCACCGAAACCCAAATCCCTCTCATGGTTTATTCGCCTCGACATGCACCCACACGGCGCCAAGAATAGCATGCCACCACATGGTCCCACCTCTTGATGATGCGTGTGGGGAGCTCAACGATTGGCCGAAGCTTAACCTGCCTTGTGAGCGAATACTAAACTTTGGCTTGAATTTTTCTGATTGGCGGGATTGGCTTGCCTTGCGAGGGTGCGAGTAAGCAAGCGATTTGACATCTTATGATATGCAGCGCGTGGGCCGACTGAGTTGCATCCCCGTTCCTTGTTGTGTGTTGCATGCTCGCAAAAGGAGTTAGCATGCTCACGTGACTGATCCAAGAGCTCGCTTGCTTGTCACTCCTTTACAGGGCTTTGTCATTGCTGACATGCATGGGCCACGGCGTGTTGCACCGCGTGGCTTGCATGGTTGGGCTCTGAGTTCAGCGTCCTGGGGAAGGCGATGCACATTTCTGACAAGGATAATGCTGGTGTGATGCATACGTGACCCGACAGGACGGTTCGGCGTTTGGGCTAGCTGCAGCTTGGAGGGTGGGTACGTGCGGGATTATAGAACTGGCGAGCGTGCCATAGGCGATGCGCGACATGCGATGCAAGATGCGATGCTGAACTCGTTGCGACTTTACTATACCTAGGCACTTGACCCGCTCCGCCGGCTCTCGCTGGGGTGAGACACCTGAGTGGACGGATTTAGTTATGTCTGACACGACTCGCTGCATATTGCATGCCGCCGCTTGAGGTTATTGGCAATTGCGCCAGACTCCATACGTACGTTGACAACGGATCCTGATGTAATAGGATTCATATCGGTTGCAGGCTGCCTTCAATATGTGCTACCGAGGACGGTTGGGGAACTCGTGTCGAAGCGCAAGTGCTCACGATCATGCATGTAATGGAGTGGGGTGTGCAAGTCTTGCCCCACAGTTCTGCAGATTCCTGGGCGTATTCTAGTTGCGAAGATCAATTTTGCGCAGTAGGATCGCCATGTCTTCTCGAGTCAAAGAACGTGTAGGGGGTTTATCGCGAACACATTCGGCAGGTGCGAAGAATTCAGTTCGAAAAGAGCGCCGTGCGATATTTGCTTTGTCGTCCTGCAACGTAAGGCGAAAAGACCATGTAACCCTCATATGCGCCAGATATACAAGGTCATCGAGTCAGTCGTACGATCCGGTGAGAATTCCGCTCATGGCCCGCTGTATGGAACAGCATCGTCGTGCAGTAAAGCAAGTATTACATGCAGGCGGAGGAGCGCGATGTCATCGCGTGACAAGATGAATCGATAGAGGTGCACAAATAAGTCTGAGAGAAACGACTTTGGCGCTGTGCAGATCCAGTCCCATGGAGACAGCCCCTATGGCGTTGTATCGACATGGCAGGAATATGCGGTGTGAACTATAGGTACACGTGTCGAGAGTCGGTCATCTGGATGTGTGTGGAGTCCCTCTAAACCGCGGATGTACTGTGCTCCCACATGAATGGACCCGTTATGCAGGTCAAAAAGATACCAGCTGCAAGGGATGCAAAATGGGGAAGTTGATCCGGAAAGTGAATTCCAGATGCCCCCATAGACTCTGCAACCAGCAAAATGAGGTTTCTTGTGCCGTGATGCTGAAGCAGAAAAACGAAGGCACGCATCGGCAGTTGCAAGCGACCGAAACGTGCTGACAAAACCCGAGGCATCTACACTCGCGGTCGGCCCGAGTAGCGAGAAGTATTCGGGTAAGCACAGCAAAAGAAGATCATGAGCCGGAACCGCTGTAACATGCGCAGTCTTACAGCCTTGTCACCCGCCGCAGAGGTAAACGGTGAGCAAGTGTTGATCCTAGACACAGAAGCCGGCGTGATTGGGTGGATCTTTGTCCCCGGTCGCGGCATGTCATCAATCATGACCCTTGTACGACGGCGGCTCTGCCTAGGTAGTTCTTCCAGATGCGTAGGATCACGGGTCAAGCGGCTGGCTCGTGG